TATTTAAGCCACAAGCTAAAAAATGCGTCTGAATAAGCCTAGGAAAGCGTTACCATGGAAACTGCTAGTGACGAAATGACACCTATTTTTGGATAACCAATGATTATATAATTCAACCCCGTAAAAGTGTTCAACTGGCCTTGGTCAGCTTTTCTGTAGTATTCTTTCAAAGTTACAAACCATGAAAAAAATAAAAACCGGTACGAGCCACCTTAAACTCTCATGCACGAGTGACACGGCTTTCTCTTCATGATAACAAGTCAATATTATGCAGACTGGTAATGATATCGAAGAAAAACATCAATTAGGGGATTATCTTTTGATCCAAAAGCAAATTCTCTGCACTAATATTATAAGAATTGTATGTCAGATAGTAATGAGAATTACTAATGATATCTTAGGAGTGAAAGGAACACAAGAAAGAAACGGAATGGTTAAATCCTTAAAGTCAGTTCTGTCTGGTTACCAATAATTCAGAAAATTTTGTAGAATTTCACGGTATAGATGGGGGCATCAAGTAAAACAAGGTCTGGACTGGATTAGTAAAACATGGACTGGATTAGTAAAACAGAGATTAGTAAAACATGGACTGGATTAGTAAAACATGGATTAGTAAAACATAGATTAGTAAAACATGGATTAGTAAAATGAACGCTAAATAGGGCGAGTTACATTTTATCTTACTTTTAGTAGTATTTTATTTCGGACCAATACTCATGGTTTTAAAATAAGTGAGGAGTATTCGCTACCTTTCTATAATCAAGAATTGGATAGATAATCTAGTCTTCTCGGATAAGGACCGTCTCCTGCAGGGGTCCATCTCCTGCAGGGGTAGGGGTAGGAGACGTTAATTTCCCACGCACGAGATTACTGTGTGGTGGATGTCCACCCCTGGTTGGGATGGGTGGGTGTTGGCCCTGAAAAACCCCTATGCAGAGTGGTCACTTAATCTATGTATGTATCTGTGTATTTTATCTTACTTTTTTACTCTTACTTTTCAACCAAATTATTTCGCACAAAATAGACAGTTTCATTTAAATACTGATGTTGCCTTTGCCCATCCGCAGGCGGTTTCAATCGAAAACAACATTTCTTTACCATTGTTTTATCTGCGTAGAAAGTGACAGTTGTGAAATAAACTGGGATTATTTGAGTTTTCTGGGCAACCGAGATCGAGTTTACTTTCTCGAGCTCGCACAACAACCTGGGATCATAGCTCATTCCTGTCGTCACGCAATTTATGTGACGGATAAGGTGACGTCTGCATATGGTATGGAGTCATCAACTGGTTCCTTTGAAACGCGTCGACGTCTTCGGTTCTTCAAAAGAGGTAAGAAAAAACATTTTTTATACCTTGCAATACTATCTGCATGCTTTGAACCTTAATTTTATGACGTTGTTGTTGGTAACCATTGTTGAGAACTGCGATTCGCTCTTTACCGACTCCAGTGTCTCAAAGTCAATGATCGCTGGAATTCGACTTGAATGTTGAATTTACGCGCATTTTGCAACCCTTGTCGTTTGAATCCACCTGTAATTGCCACAGTTTTGTTAGTAAGTTTTACACAGTGAATTATGCCTATATCAGTTGCTCTCGGTAAGATTAACTGAAAGTCTCTTGACTACGTAGGCGGATTTATTGTTTCTCCATCTTTGTGCTGTTCAAGGTTAGTGTTGCTATGAATATCTTAATTCGAGTCAATTGCCGAACGAAAATCAATAGATTTCGGGCAATAAGTAGTCTGTGACTGTGTTGGATCCATGGCTAATGTGTATTTGTTCCCGTGAAAAATGCATGATTCAATGTTTCTATTCTCGTCCTTTTGAACTGTTGCGAATGTTCAGGAGGGCATCGTGATTGCTAAAACCGATTAAACCTTTCCCTTTCCATGTGGTTACCTTTTTCTATATGCAGCAGTGTAGTAAGCCGTTTTCCGTAATATCTGTTCTTCATAACTTTCAAACAATAAGTTTAATAATTGATGAAACAGAAAGATTTGTCCGAGCATGTACACCGGAAGTGACTTACAAAAATTTGTTTCGCAATCTTTAATTCTCAGAAACGGCTTGTGGTCGGACGAAACACCAAAAATAAACACTAAACTAGTATCGGGATCCTTCGAAACGGCTCTAAACATAAACTATTCTCGAGATTCTTCGGAATGGTTCTCAACAAACACTCTGCTACTGAATTGTATGACTGTACAATGACTCCTAGAGAGAATCTCAGGTCGCAACCTTTATGCGACAAAAGAAAAAGTTATTACGTAATTGTCTTTGTCAGTTACAGGTTCTTGACACCTTTCGCATATTTTTTTCGCAGTCAGAGTATTTTGAACAATTTCGTTTTCTTGATTCCTGCGGGTTAAATTTGTCAAATGCAGAAAATCGAGAGAGAGAAAAGAAATAGCACGTACATATTTGATTTCCACTGCAAAAGATACCGAATGAATTGAAAGAGACTCACTTTACAGGTTACACGCTGTTACACATGTAACGCGATGTTTGAAACTTGGAGGGGTTAAATTTTAAGGATACAGTGTCGAGATAAGACTAATTATTTCAGCGCTCCCCCTCCCCCCTCCTACCATGTATAACACTATACGATCAGTTTTTTTCCTAATCAGGTTTGTAAGAGATCAGAACAAGTAACCGGTCTAACCTTTTTATAGCAATAGAAACCAGAAAAGAAGCAGTATTGTTTGCAAATCTTCAGCTTCTCACATTTTTTTCTCTTTTTGTGGCTACTGTCTCCTATAGGAGGCGAAGCCACATATGTTGTTGATTGTGGATAGGGTCACCCTGAAACAGAATATTACTATCCTTATTTTTACCATCATAACTATACTCCTGCCTAAGGGTTTATGGATTGTATGGCTATTTAACCGTTGCTATAAGGCACCACTATACAGAGCGATGGAAATCGCGCTTAGGAGGTCCAGGTCCTTATTATTCACGCTTCAGATCGCACGTTTCTCCGCCCGAGGGAACATTTGTGACAAGCCGGGGAGAGGTTTGCTTGGAGTCTGGTACTAGTAATGAGGCTAGACCCCAGTACCCCATCTTGTTGGTTAGCGTTGCTCAAGGCCATATACTTTCCCGCGGGCGAAGAAAGGCTCGTGCTGAAGTACTCATAACAAGGGCCAGCTCGCAGGCTATGGTGCGTGCATTTATCCACGTAAACAATTAGAAATCGTTTGTTTTTTAGGAGGCTGGTGGTAGTTATTTCTATCTCACAATGGCCCATTCCCTGGAAATAACTAATGACACGCTCTTTGGTATGAAGCTGAACACCCTTCTTATTAACAGAGGTACTGCGGCATTACGCCGCGTATTCGATAGTTATGTGCCTCCGCCCCAGCTCCAAACGTTCTTAATCGGAAAGGAAGCTGTCATACGGAGACTTAAACGAGAAGGGAAAATAAACAAGTCTCAGTGGGACAAACTTTACCCGGCGCCGGCGGTTGGTACCCCTGCTTCAAAATACTTCGACATTTCTCTTCTTTACGTTTTGCTTCGTAACGTTTGTAGAATGCCAGCTCCTGCCACTGGCTGGGGTGCAAAACCTGCTCCAACAGATCGCTCAGTTGGGGCTGCAGTGCTAAAAATACACTGGTATCGTAACTGGTACAGTCACGCAACAATTTTCGAGATCGATGAAGCTTCATTTCAATCATCCTGGAAGGAGATTGCTGACGCAGTTCAAAGTCTCGGTGAAGACCCTTCACGAGTTGAGAATCTTAGAGCCGCACCACTGTCTGTTAGCATTTGCATGGAAAGACTTGCAAAGTTTGATTTCACCGGTGAAGTCCATTTTTACACATCCAAGTATCATCCAGGAACTCGCGAGTGGGTTTTCAGTCATGTCGAGAGTTGGTTTCAAAATCGCATGTCCGATTCACGTGTTCTTATTATCACTGGAAATGCTGGTATGGGTAAATCTGTTATTGTAGCACAGTTATGCAGCAACATGAAAAAGCGCTCGGTTCTTGGTGGAATGCACTTCTGTCAGCACAATAACCAGAGGCGAAGGAAACCAGAGCTAATGGTGCAGTCGCTGGCCAGACATTTGTGTGACAATCTTCCAGGTTTTAAGGACATCCTAGCAGGTCAGTTAACCTGCCTAAACCCAACTGATCTGACAACCATGAATGTGGAAGAACTGTTCACGCACGTTCTTCAAGAGCCATCGAACATGATGGCAGATCCAGGAATGAACATTCTTTTGGTGGTGGACGCTGTAGATGAGTGTGAACATCAAGGAAGAAACGAGCTCTTTGATGTGATCAGTACACAGTTCCACAAGCTACCATCTTGGATAAAGTTTGTTGTCACAGGTCGCACTGAGCAAGCAATGATGGACAAACTAGCGCACTTCAACCCGTTCGTCCTCCACCCCTCGGACGAGAAGAACGAGAAAGACATAAAGCTATTTTTTGAAGAAAGTTTAAAGAATCTGGTGCCCAAGACGAGCATCGAGCAAAATGTCAATCGCCTTGTAAGTCAAGCTGAAGGACTTATGTTGTATGCACATTTTGTTATTAAGTATGTCGAAGACCAAAAGAACACCCCGACACCTTCAAATCTCTCAAGTATTTTCCCTCGTGGGATCACATCCGTGTACGAGCAATACATTGATCGCCTGCAAATGGATCTTGGAGTTGGCAAAGAGCGTTTCTTCGATTTTCTTTCGTCACTTGTTGCAGCACGTTCTCCTTTACCTGCGACCATGGCATCGAGAATTCTCGGCCTGTGCCTTGACATTGACGATGGTTGGAGCCAATTCCAAAAGATGTCAGAATCAATCTCACGTTTGCTGCCCATTCGCGACGGTTGCATCGATGTCTTCCATAAATCACTTGTTGACTGGCTCTCTCATCCAGAATTGTACGGTAAACATAGATTTACGGTTAAAATCTCAGAAGGAAATGTCGTTTTATCAAAGGAATGCGAAAGGACCTACAGTTCCATCAAGGAACGTCAAGATGTCCCTGTGGAGTATTCTCATGAAGAAAAATACGCTCTTCAGCACGGAACGTACCATTTCACAGCTTTACCAAAACTAGATGAAAGCCAGAAAAACAGAGTTTTTTGTCATGCATGCAGACTGGAACTACTATATGCTAAATTGCAGAGCAAAGTTTGCGACGTTTTCTCATTAATTGAGGAACTTCAAAACGTCAAACCATTCTTGAAACTTTCCGGTGATGACTCGAAGGAAGTCAGTGATTGTATAACGTGCCTCAGGCGTCATCCCTACTTGTTGATGGAAAACCCAAACATGATATTTCAGTTATTAGCGAATGATGCGGAAACTATAGCGATAAGTCTTGAGGCCTGTTCTGTGATGAGTCAAACAAAGTACCACCATCCCCTCCGCTTAGAGGTAGTTAACAGGTCTCAGACAACAGACCCCGTGATCACTAAATTCCGTTGCAAGACCTACGTAAACTGTTGTGACGTTTGGATCCAGGGCGAGAACACTCTATTGGTCTGTGGATGTGGAGAAGGTTTCGTCCACATGTTTTCAGTGGAAACAGGAAGAGAACATTGGAAGTGCCAGTCTGATGTGATCGACATCTGGCAAACCGAGGAGGAGCGTTGCAATTACTGTTTTTTAGTCCCACAACATGAGGTGGTTCTCCACGGTCGATTCGATAAAGCCTTAACATTTACTGGTGAATCAAAGGTACTATTTCCAGAAAACAAGCATACCTTTATTGATGCTTGTATCTCACAAGACAGAAAAACGATGGTGACCAGGGAAACTCATGTGACAAACAGCCTGATGATTTGGGAACTCGAGGGAGGAGAGCTGGCAAGCAAATTGGAACTGCCCACTAAGAGCATCGCATGTTGTGCTCTTTCATTATGCGAACAATATGCTATCTCAGGCAGTTTTGACAGAGGTGTCTCTCTGTGGAACTTGAATGTGAGCGACTACAATTATCAGCAGAATGCATTAGGTAACAAAGAACCTTTAACAGTTGATTGCCTTTCAGGATCAGAAGGAAATTCACAGTTTGTGCTTCTAAATTCTTCTAAGAAGCAATCGTTGACATTTTGTGAATTACTCGCGAATGAATTCAAGTCTTCTGAACCACGATACATAAACCTTGGGTCGACGCATAGAAGTCTTGGTGTCTCAAGCCGTGGAGAGTGTTTGTATGTATGTGGTGAGTCTCGCCAATTGCACTGCCTCGGTTTGCCTTTCGCAGTTCGAATTGCTCTAATTTCCAAGCGAACCAAATGGACATATGCCAAAGAGGTTGACACGGAGAGAGTGCTTCTAAAGGACTCTGACACGGTTTATATGTGTCGCACCCTCGAGAACAAAAGTTCTGAAGAAATGGCAGCTTGTGGAGTGATGGCTATTTCCTTTTCAGCTGATGGTCAGCATTTGTACGTTTTGTATAAAGTAGGAATGAGTGTGTATGAAGCTTCCAGCGGAAGATGGCTTCGCAGTAACCCGTCTATCCAAGCGAAATCGTTTGCACTGTCACCGAGTGAAGACTTCATTTTGCTTCAAAAAGGAGATCGATTTGAACTGTGGGGTTCCGACCTGCAACAAAGAGTTAAATCTTTAGAACATCCGACCACACCGCAAAGGTTCGTCAGTTACCTCGACAACGACCTTGTTTTTTTTCTTTCCAGATCAGGACAGATCCAGGTTTGGAACCTCAACGAATCGACGTTTAGGGAAATCAAAGGCCCTAAGCAGTCTTTGATCGAATGCTGCGACATCTTTGTTTTTAAGCAAGAAGACGATGGTGTCTCACATTTTCGTCTCCTATGCTGTGATCGTCAAAGTGGTCTAACGTTGTACGATACTGTGAAAGCGAATCACATCAAACAGCCCGTTCCTGAAGAAGAAATTGTCAGATGTTGTAAGTTTTCGTTTGATGGACGGTGTATCGCCACAGGACACATTGACGGATCATTAAAACTTTGGGACGGTCGACGTCTTGAACTGAAGAAACGCCTGAGTTGTGGTGACAGTCTGGTAATAGGGTGTGGCTATCTGGAGCAAGACCTTGGCGATACGGTTGCAACGGTCAGTGAATCGGGAACGTTAAGAGTGTGGGATGCTTTCTCGGGCAGTCAACTTGGGTCTATAAAATTTGAAAGCAACATCTGTAAAATTGTAGCTTCACCGGTAAAGGCTCAAGTTTGTATTGCTCTTGAAGGCAAATTTGTCATCGTAAACGGCCACAGGCTCGAGTTTGATTAACATCTTGGCAAATGGAAATCACGAATAAAGCAGAAACATTAGCGGAGAACTTGCTAACGCGACTAGGTACAGTTTGCACACCCGGTGGAATTACTCTGTCAGCGCTCGGCTCAAAACGTTGTCCCCTGATCCATGGACCGCCAAACCGGAGAAGTGGTGGACAACCCTACACAGAATTCCCCTAGAACAGACTAAAAAGATCAATCAAACGCCGTTAAGATTAAAAGGCGAACGATATGAAAGTTAACCTATCACCAACGAGCGCCCACTATTTGATTTGTAACAAGAAGCGCAAGTTTTCCCATCCTCGGAGACCCAGGGGCTGAGTCGATTTCAAGTTAGGGCATGAAGAGCCCCTGGGGACGTTGTCTTACAAGACTAGTTCCAAACGGTCGCAGTCATTCTGCCATCTGATTGGTGCCAGAAAATCTTTGTGTTTTTCTGCCCAATCAGAGTAAAGTGTGCCTTAGAGTCCTTTCGTGTGTTTTATCGCAGACATACACTTGTAGCTCAGTTGCTCGCTATGTTTGATTGGACCGTGCGATGGAGATTTGCTTGAGGTGAAAAGTTTCAGTCTCAGCACACAAGGTAAGAGAAATCGATCAGATTGTCCGCGAAAATCTTACCGGAAATTATACCGAATACTTCGCAGGTGCCACCAGAGAACGTGTTCTAAAGTTTGCGAGGTTTGTATACAAAACGATGGTTGCGGTCATTGATATGTCGCTTTAAACGTTAAACGAGATTTAAGCTTAAATCTTTCCAGATTTTTTGCATAATTTGCTGTGTCTGAAACTTTGCCAATCCCGTGAAGTTATTTCGTTGCACGGGCCACGCAGGTATGTCGAGTAACTGGCGCTTTCGCCTACGTAGCTTTCTGCTTTCTGTGCGCGCCAAAATCTAATCTTCGCTTTGTAGCTTGTAAAGTCGTCCACAATACGGCCAAGGTTGCAGAGAACGTCATGTTCGTGGACGACCTCCAGCAAGCCCTAAGAGAAAGCTTAGCTGTGTTTCAGCTTAGCTAATTAAAATCTGAACAAAAACTTATTAACGAGAACATCGCGAGGAGAGATGTTTTCGGGCAGTTACCGAAGTGGTTTGGAAAGAGTTTAATCTTTCAACTGCTACCGAGAGTGTTGAAATTCTTGAGCTAGGAAGGCCACGGACTCTCTTCTAGTCCCTTGGTCATCGTCATTTCACCTCTTCTGTCGATTGTTGAAGACCAAGTTGAATACCTTTGATCATTGGGAATCGATCCGATGCTGCTTTCGATGGGAAAAACAAAACCAAAGACCAAGAAATATTGGATGGAAAGGGCGGGTTTGCTTTATTGCAAATGTCAGCTTAGTAGTACAGGGTTATCTACCCACATCTATTAAGCAAAAGTTTCCACGCTTAGCTTTTCTTTTTTTTCAAGCGAAGATGAGATTAGATTTTGGCACGCACAGAAAGTTGCGCGAGTACCAGTTTCACGACATACCTGCGTGGCCCGTGCGACGAAATAACTTCACG